CTTTAAAAATGCCGCTGAACCTTTTTGTAGTCACAAGAAAACTAACTCTGGATCAGCTTCTTCCTCAGCCGCAGCAACGGCAGCTTCAGATTCAACATCGGGTCAAAAACCAACACACAATAACTCTGGATCTCATGGAAAATCACCTGCACCAGCATCAAATACTGGGTCAGGATCATCTGGCTCAGGATCAAGACAAGGATCTAGTTCATCAGGTTCAGGATCATCTGGTTCAGGTTCATCGGGATCAGTAGCTTCAGACTCATCATCTGCACCTGCACTAGCATCAAATACTGGATCGCGCTCATCATCATCAGCAGCAGCTTCAGACTCATCATCAGGACCAACAAAAACAACAACAACAACATCAACCAGTAACTCACCTAACTCAGCATCATCAGGATCAGGTTCAGGATCATCAGCTGCAGCTTCATCAGGAGCAGCAGCAGCTTCAGGTTCAGGATCATCTGGCTCAGGTTCATCAGGACAAGGATCTGGTTCATCAGGATCAGCAGCATCAAGTTCAGCAGCAGCAGCTTCAGACTCATCATCTGCACCTGCACCAGCATCAAATACTGGATCAGGATCATCATCAGCAGCTTCAAGTTCAGCAGCAGCAGCATCAGCAGCATCAGCTTCAGATTCATCATCAGGACCAACAAAAACAACAACAACAACATCAACCAGTAACTCACCTAACTCATCATCATCAGGATCAGGTTCAGGACCATCAGCAGCAGCTTCATCAGGAGCAGCAGCAGCTTCAGGTTCAGGATCATCTGGCTCAGGTTCATCAGGACAAGGATCTGGTTCATCAGGATCAGCAGCATCAAGTTCAGCAGCAGCAGCTTCAGACTCATCATCTGCACCTGCACCAGCATCAAATACTGGATCAGGATCATCATCAGCAGCTTCAGGTTCAGCAGCAGCAGCATCAGCAGGATCAGCTTCAGATTCATCATCAGGACCAACAAAAACAACAACAACAGGAGCAGCAGCAGCTTCAGGTTCAGGATCATTTGGTTCAGGTTCATCAGGATCAGCAGCTTCAGGATCAGCAGCATCAAGTTCAGCAGCAGCAGCTTCAGACTCATCATCTGCACCTGCACCAGCATCAAATACTGGATCAGGATCATCATCAGCAGCTTCAAGTTCAGCAGCAGCAGCATCAGCAGCATCAGCTTCAGATTCATCATCAGGACCAACAAAAACAACAACAACAACATCAACCAGTAACTCACCTAACTCAGCATCATCAGGATCAGGTTCAGGATCATCAGCAGCAGCTTCATCAGGAGCAGCAGCAGCTTCAGGTTCAGGATCATCTGGCTCAGGTTCATCAGGACAAGGATCTGGTTCATCAGGTTCAGGATCATCTGGTTCAGGTTCATCAGGATCAGCAGCTTCAGGATCAGCAGCATCAAGTTCAGCAGCAGCAGCTTCAGACTCATCATCTGCACCTGCACCAGCATCAAATACTGGATCAGGATCATCATCAGCAGCAGCATCAGCAGCATCAGCTTCAGATTCATCATCAGGACCAACAAAAACAACAACAACAACATCAACCAGTAACTCACCTAACTCAGCATCATCAGGATCAGGTTCAGGATCATCAGCAGCAGCTTCATCAGGAACAGCAGCAGCTTTAGGTTCAGGATCATCTGGCTCAGGTTCATCAGGACAAGGATCTGGTTCATCAGGATCAGCAGCATCAAGTTCAGCAGCAGCAGCTTCAGACTCATCATCTGCACCTGCACCAGCATCAAATACTGGATCAGGATCATCATCAGCAGCTTCAAGTTCAGCAGCAGCAGCATCAGCAGCATCAGCTTCAGATTCATCATCAGGACCAACAAAAACAACAACAACAACATCAACCAGTAACTCACCTAACTCAGCATCATCAGGATCAGGTTCAGGATCATCAGCAGCAGCTTCATCAGGAGCAGCAGCAGCTTCAGGTTCAGGATCATCTGGCTCAGTTCATCAGGACAAGGATCTGGTTCATCAGTTCAGGATCATCTGGTTCAGTTCATCAGATCAGCAGCTTCAGATCAGCAGCATCAAGTTCAGCAGCAGCAGCTTCAGACTCATCATCTGCACCTTGCACCAGCATCAAATACTGATCAGACTCATCATCAGCAGCTTCAAGTTCAGCAGCAGCAGCAGCAGCATCAGCATCAGCTTCAGATTCATCATCAGGACCAACAAAAACAACAACAACAACATCAACCAGTAACTCACCTAACTCAGCATCATCAGGATCAGGTTCAGGATCATCAGCAGCAGCTTCATCAGGAGCAGCAGCAGCTTCAGGTTCAGGATCATCTGGCTCAGGTTCATCAGGACAAGGATCTGGTTCATCAGGTTCAGGATCATCTGGTTCAGGTTCATCAGGATCAGCAGCTTCAGGATCAGCAGCATCAAGTTCAGCAGCAGCAGCTTCAGACTCATCATCTGCACCTGCACCAGCATC